CTTGTGGAATAGTCGTGTTCCCAGAACGTGAAGAGAGCCTACTCGTAGCACGGAGACAAATTCAGGAAGCAAGGCACGAGAATTCTATGCCGAAAAAGGGGGTTAAAGAAACTACAATTCAAAATCAAATGTAATGGATTCGTGTCACTGGGAACCTCAGTTTACTCTTCAGAGATCAGTGTTTCCCATCACTGCCACATTAGAAGAGAAAAAGGAGAGACAATAGCCGTATCTCCCCAGAAACAAGGTAGAGAGCATTGTTCTTTTAAAAACAGGAATGTTTGACAAATCTGATGAAGTTGGCCTGTCTTGCTGGGGTGATTGTCAAGATGGGACAAAGCCTTCCTCACATCCCCAACAAGAGAATCTCTGATACTTGACAAAGTGGTGGCTGCCCGTCTTGGAACCTGACCTCCCACTTGGATTCAGCTCCCCCAGGGATTTTGGAGGGTGGAATTGCTTGCTCTGCTCTTCCTTGGAAATATGTTCAGAAGGGACCAATCACCAAATCAGATTGGCTTCTGCTGGGAACCTTGGTGTTTTAGGGTCAAGAAAGAGCAACACAACTGATGGGAGTGTGTGGCCTCTGAGAGAATGTTTTTGAAGGCTCACCTGTTTCTGCAGGATTTTGAAGCCTGGAAATAAAGGTATAGCCTAGAGACCAAAATGGATCGGGAGGGACACTTGAACTTGTTCGGTTAAAACAATGCTGGGAGATTCTTGGGGACAAGGAACAAGGGGGTGCTTGTAGGATTATGTGCAACACACCAGACTCCCAGGACTGAGGGATTCTGATATGAACAAGGTGAACAGTTTATGTGGCATTATTTTCTGCCACTGACAGGTGGATTGTGAAACCACTCCAAGGACCAGGCAGGACGGGCTGAACAGCCAGCACAGAAGTCATGCCCCGCCCTGTGCATCTGCGATCGTTCTGCCATAAAGCTGACTGGGTGTAGGAGGGCAGGGCATCGTGCCGGGCCACAGGGCAGCATGACTTGAGAGCATTTCCATTGACCTGGGAGGCTTGGTGGGGACAGGATGAGCTTTGGAGGTACACGAACTTTGGTGACAAACCCAGATCTACCTCTTACAATGAATAACCCCATTTGGCCAGAAATTTCCCCTCTTGGCTTCAGTTTCCTCGTGCATACCATGGAGACAGGAATACCTCCCCATGGGTTGTGATGAGGATGGCACGAACTCAAGAGCGGGAGGTATTATGCTGCATGCAACTTACATAGAGAGCTTTCTTCCCCTCCCTGACCTCGGTCTTGTGGGCAGAGGGAGAGAATGGGAACATTGAAAGAAAACATGTTGCTATTTTACATTACCCTTAAGCATCAAATTGCAGTCTATTTGACAAATGTAAGAGGAATTACGAATATATTCCTAAACTCTGGGCTTTTCACTATTTAATAATAAGTCACAGTCATGTTAATCTTTATAGAGCTCATTTTTGGCTTACTTCCCCCTGAAACTTACTTTAACCCTAGAACAATGCTCTTTGGAGGCCAAGAAGACTTAGGTGGAATGACAGTCTTGAAAATTACTAGATCACTTCTTGTTATCCAAGAACTTGACCACCTTTCTTTCTATCTCCTAGGACTTCTGGGTTAGCCTGACTCAGGAGCACTGAACCCTGCTCTTGGGTTTAACAAGGGCCATCGGTGAGCCCGGCCAGATCCCGCCCAGTCTACCCCAAGCACAACTGGAATGCAAACCAACTGTAGAAATCCTCATTTGAGCCCACAGAAGCCTGTTTGCATTACAATTACCTCCCAATTAAATGAACACAAGATATCTTAAGTTGAATCCTGTTTGCTTCTTTGTAGCCTTAGGTGAAGGCCCTAAAGTGAGTCCTAGTTGGGACCTGGCCAACGTGGGCATTCTCTGAGATAACCTGGAGGAACCAGGCTGTGCTCGGGTGAGACCCAGAGATCCCAGTGCACAGGGATGCCTTTAGTAGAACTGACAATTTAGAGTCATAAAGGTTGCAGAACTAATCATATCCCACTCCCTGGAATCAAACCCATACTTTTTTTCAAGGAAAAAACTTGTTAAATTGGCTTCTAGATGAGCATACAATGACCTGACATGCCTCTGGAGCTAAATAAGTCCAAGTGATGGGGCAAAGAGCAGAGGCAGCCCAAGCCTGGCAGGACAAGGAAGAGGGGTGGGTGGAGGAGAGGAGCTTCTTTGTTCCCTTTTCTGAGCGCACACAGCAGTAGGAGTTTTTGCTAGGCCTTTGGAAGTCAACAGGATTTGGGGACAAGGAGCATTATCACCTTTCAAGGCTTGGGCTCATCTATCAAATTCCAGAGGTGGGAAAGAGGTCCCAACAAATGTATCTGGTTTAGCAATTTCTTGTGTGTCCAGAAGTTCTCGTTTCCCCTTGGGTGCAACAGCAATACTTTCTCCTTATTTGTAATTTTACTTGTAATTTTTGATCTTCAACATCTGGACCAGTAGTTAAGAGACCTGGCTTCTTGATTCATTCTGCTCCCCAATTACTCATTCAATCACTGAGTGACTGACTGTGATTTGCTCTGAGACTCCGGTTCCTGAATGAAACAGAGAGGTGGTTGCGCTGGGTGCTTAAGCTCTGTTCTGGCTCTGAGCAGCTCAGAACCTGTGAAATCATATCTCCCTGCATCTGCAGCAATTAAACAAAACATTAGTCACAATTTTCCTACAGGGATGCCAAAGCTGAGCTTGCTAGAGGCTGGGAACAAATCCCCCTGGGTCGGGTTTGTGGGACCTTGAACTCTTTCTTCTGGAAGTTCTCCATTCATTGCCAGGGTGTCTGACAGACGTCATGGCATGATTGACTTTCCTCATTGAAACCACTAGATCCTTCATATTTAATTACTCCTGTCATTTGGCTTTACCTCCTACAAGCCATCCTTTAAGAGAATGGTGCAAAATCTGGTATTGCAGGTCTAACCCAGCTACTGGGATCCAACAGTCCTTCTCTCTGCATTGCCAATATCCCTGCTCTTCCTCATTTTGATGGAAAAAGGAATCATTTTTATTTATAGAAATAAACTTATTTAAAGAGCAATTTTAAAAGTGCCTGATTTTGTCATGTAATAATTGGGATTGTATCTCCACCACTCTTATCTGAAAAAAACATTTTTTTCAGTGTAAATTTAGAGTTCATAAGTAACACCAAAGACTGAGGCATGAAGTCCACACATATATAAAGAAAGAATATGTGTAACAGTCCCCAGTACATGGCCACTGCTGTTCTTGGGGCATTATATATATCGATTGTTTCATTTGAAAATCAAAACAGGCCAGAAAAGTCAAACACTTTTGAATGTCCTAAAACTCATGTTTTCATCTGCATCATTTCTGCATCCTTCCTAGCTCTTTGACATTTCCATTGCTGGCTTCCAAAACCACTAAAGCCATGCGGATAGCCCGTTTCCTACCTGGGCATTGGTGAGGTGCCAGTTGCTGCTTTGTTTAGAGGACTGTCAGCTCAGTTCTGAATAGGGTGATATCAGTAACCCAAGCACTCTGGGTGCATTTGAATACAAACAAAAGACATACAGTCTTTTTAAAAAGTTCATCCTGAAATAAGCAAGCCTTCAAGGACAACTGAGGCCATGAGCCAAATTTCTAAGGATGCCTGGGGCATTACCTTAGAAGAATATTCCCAGAAAACAAAGACCAGCTATGTGGCATCTTCTGGGGGAAGCCTGAGGTGTGCTTGGCAGCCATGTTCAAAGTGCAGTCAACTTGTTAGACCACTGAAAACACTGATTCTATTTCTCCAGAGTTTGATGAGCAGATTCCCACAGGCAGAGTGGTACTTTTCTCTTGAAATAGACACTGTGTCTCTGCCGGTACCACAAGCCTCTCTTGGAAGTAGCTCAGCTCTTCACCTGACCTCAATCATAGTAGGGAATTGGAGAGGAAGGTTTTTGCTTTTTCCAAGAACCTTCTCAGGTGCTCAAGAACTTCCTTCTTGTACAGCTTATCTGGAGCTATAAAATCCAAAGTACTGAACCCAAACACAAAGTCCCCATTCAACCCACTCAGTCTTCCCTGGGCTGATGAGGTCATTAGTGTTTTGATGTGGAGTTTTTGCTCTCATTTTCCTCCAAGTTCAGTCTTATGCTGATCCCAAGCCAGGAAGCGTTCTTGTCTGTACAGAGTTGTCTTGAGGGATGAATTCAGATACTTTCCATTTCTGGTAGGCATAGTTTGAAGGGACCTCCAATAACTGAGGCCACACATTCCTAGCTTTTTGAAGACAGGAACAGTAGTTTTCTTACCTCTGAATTTTCTGTGCACTGCACAGTGCCCAGCAGATACTGGTGCTTAATAAACCTTGTAAATGAATAAACAAATGAGTGCTTTTATTATGCTTTCATTAGAGTCGCATGGAATCACGAGGAGAGTCTTGACAAACCATGAGTAGATCCTGTTATGTAAGGATTTTCTACAAGTAATTATTCTTCAACTTACAGTGTCTAGGAACTGCGTTGCACAAAACAGGCAGTGCATAATGCTTAATTGTTAACTAATTCGTTCATTTTGAACTCTAGTGTATCTTGGGGTTTTCTACATATATTTTCATGAAAACTAGAGCTTATAATCAATTTCATGTCTAAGCTCTCAGTTTACAGAAAAAGTACAGTTAGTGAATAGAATTTTCTCAATGTGATTCTTTTCTTTTCTTAGATTTTTCCTTTTTGCTTGTGTGCTGGTATTTGATAGTCAAACATCACACTTGATTTCAGGTATTTTCTTCTCAGCCCAACAGGACCACCTTTACCTAACATTTGCAAAGTACATTGATCTCATTCTCATCCCACTAAAATATTACCTCTTAAAAATCTTCATATATCTTATTGTGACACAGAGATATTGGATACCTATAATGGGATCACAGTTTCACTTGAGAAAATTATTCCTACCTTTTCTGATGGAATTGTTACTATTTCATGGGATTCTGTTAAAATTACTGCAGTTTCCTGGGTAAGCTTCAGAACTACTGGTATATCCGAATGGTGTAGTCTTGGGCCATGTTTGTTAACCAATTCTGTTGGCTCATTCCATCATGCTGTTCCTTTGTGTGACAGTGTGGAAGCACACAGTTTCTCCCCATAAATTATGTTCAGTCCTACACCTCGAATTCTGCTTTATCAATGCTAACCATGTTGATGATGTTGTCTATGGGCAAGCATCTTGAGCAGGTTTGCCTTGCTTTTCTGGAATTTTCTTTTAAGGGGGATATCAAAGAATAGTCCAGAAGATCATTTTTCACTTTTTTTTCCTTAGATAGGAAAGAACATCTCTTAAGGATCTTATCATTTATTCATTCATGAACAATGTATTTTGTCTTTGTCTACACTGGTAATGACATGTTGGTAATCCACACAAACCCAACCTCTGCCATCCTGGCCTTATGATCCAGCAGGAAGCTAAGCCTGCCCTCCTAGAGTTTGGAAAATAATACAAGCTCCAGTACTTGTAGGTTATTGAAAGACACTAAGGCAGTCCTCTAACTTTGCATCCAAGGTAACTATTTTTAGCTTGAGGATGAGAAAGTCTCATTCTTCCAGCTGCGAACTCTATCAAGGTCCTGGCAAATCTATTTGTAAGATACTGAGGCTAGTAGGTTCTGTAAGAATATTAGTAAGTTAGGAAACAATAATTGGTGCATACATGGAGAGTTTGATTCATTCTCCAATTTTTGTTTCAAATAACTCAAATGCACAAAGAATATGGTAACATATTAGATGGTAGGTAGTACAAACATTTCTGTGGAAGTTCCAGGAAGCTCAGAATCAAGAACCAAGCCTGTGGGAGGGCACAGAGGTTCTCAGGTCATCAATGGCCACTCATGGCACTGACAGGCGCATCGACGGGAGTCAAGAGGGGGACCAAATGCTGCTCGCCCCTTGCCCTTCAGACTGTAGGAAGGCTACATGGCACCCTAGAGGGGAGGGAGTTTCAACTCTGTGTGTGATCTTTCTTATGCATGTCCCGCCTCAGACTTGAATGTCAATGCCCATCTGCTCCTGAGACTCTCCATGTAAAACTTCTTTTCTACCTCTCGCAATGCTTGCCCTTGGCCAGAGACTTGAGGCTTTGGTTGTATGTTCCTCAAGTCCAGGGCCAAACCTTCCTTATCACTGGGCTCTGAGCCTTTTGCACACTATCTGTTGACATGTGCAGTGGAAGATATCAATCTCTGAGAAAGCAGTTCCTCTCTCCAACACACCGCATCAGGTAATGAGCACATCAGGCTGCCTCAGCACTATGGCTCTTGACGAGACAGAGCTGTGAGGGAGAACTGCAGTGGCATTTGCACAGAGATAGGCGTTTAGGCCAAGTCGATGAGCTCAATGGTCACCGTGGCAACCATCTGGAGCCAGTGCTTGGGTGTAAGAGTAAGACAGTAATACTGCAGTGTAGTCATTTAGCTAATTCAGCTAAGCCTAAGAGAAACCTTTTCTGTCAGTGTTTCAAAGAGTAACGACATCTCCCAAGAGGCCACAGGACAGCTTGTGCTTAATATTAGTTCTTACACAGTAGGGCAGTGTTTTCCAGGTTGTGTGACTACACTTCAGCTAATCTTATGGCTACATGTGGTTTAAAAAATCTGGAGGAGTAACATTGGATGGTTCTGGAAATTTTGCCCATTTGTATATTAGTAAATGTTACAGCTTCTTTGTATTATTATTTTTTTTCTGGATCCAAAATGCAATGCATATAGTGAGCATGTTTTGCAATAAAAGCAGACAGCCCTATCTTGCTGGATAAGTTGTGTCATGAGTGCTTTTCACACGATACAGACAGTTGTCTTGGCATGACTTCTGGGTCCCATTGTGTAAATGGCAGAGTGGTGTGTTAGGAAGAGACCAGGGCCTGGAGCCGGTCAGCTGATGGGGTTTTGAGTCCCAGCTCCCTGGGGAACAAGAGAGTGACCCTGGGCATGTCTCTCTACCCGAGCCCAAGGTTTCTCATTTTTATAAAGGACTTGGATCAGATAATTCCTGTGCTCTCTTGACTCTAACTGATATTTGATGAATAATCTGTACAAGTGTCATGGGGAGCAATGTGAGTTGGAACTGCACTTTGAAGGCACTGAACTTGGCTCCTGCACAGAGGGGCACCCCATTTATGTAAATGTAATTGTCTTTGGCTACATAAATTGGGAACTATTTTAACTTGTGTGTGTTTTCTTGCCACCAATTCTTAACTCATTTGAAATGCTGCACTTGGGGTTACCACCACCTTTTACAGATGAGGAAACTGAGGCATGATGCTAGACAATGGCAGGCCAAAGGAGGTCCCTTTGAGAGCTTTTAGATAGCTTCGTCACTTTTTCCTTAATAAAATAAATGTTAAAATTCTTGGTTTTGGATATCCGATGACATTCTTGTACCTTTCCTAATGTGTTAGCTCCGGAGGCAACCTCACTGATGCAATGCCTTTTTGTTGAGAAAATTATTTGCTTGCTTTAGAAAACAGGTAATCACTGGACTGTTTTATACAAAGGGGCCGTGGTTCGAGAAATAAACTACTTTCCTTGCTTACCAAACCCAAATCTAAACCAGCCAACCAAATAAATAGCACAGTTCATCAGTAACTTTGTCCTGTACTGGTCCAACCATGATTAAAAGTAAGAACAGCAGATAAATGTGTATCCTAGACAAGATTAGCGGTACCAGTTATATAGTGTAAAGTCATGCAAACCATGCTTGAAAGGAAGCGGCTTCATTGTGGTGACGTGGGGAGGAAAAGGCCATGACAAGCCCCTGCCCAGGTGGGGGGGCCACCACGCACATGCATATTTGATGCAGCCGTTGGCGATCTCACTGGTGAGTGTTGGGCGTGAGAGCAAGTGAGCTATACAATGTCTGTCTGCATTCCAGAAGGAGTCAGCCTGTGAGCCTTCTTAAATGGGCTTGTTGGAAGGGGTCCATATCGAATCAGAAATCCCGTCCCCAGTGGATGACAGAGGCATGGAGCCGCTGGGTGTGAAGGGGTCTGTGTCCGTGTCCGTCTCACCCTCGGCAAGGTAACGTTTCTCCCTCATCCAGCTTGAGCCCCCGCTTGGGCCAAACATGTAATCATCTCTGTCTTGGGAGATGCTGAAGCCACTTGGAGACCGTTCCAGCTCCTCGTGGTTGACCGACATCAGGGACAGGGGCGTGTCGCTGTCCCGCGTGACGCTGCGTCTCTGCCGGGGGGAGACCTGGTCCGAGCAGAGGCCGTGCAGTTCAGCCTGGAAGTGGTGGCCCTCTTGGCAGTCTGCAAGTGTCAAAATAGGGAGGACGGTGGGCCGTTCTGCGTGTGTGGCTGCCGAGGAGGAAAGAGTTGCTTGAATCTTTCCAGAACTGGGTCCTCTCTGGGGCAGGTTCGCTGGGTCGTGGGCAAAAAACCCATAGGGGCCAACTTTGTCAATGGGCAGCTGGTGGAAGCTGTAGGGGAGCTCGTGGGGGCCTGCCTCGGAATAGCTGCAGATGATGGTTTTCAAGCCAGAACCCCGGTTGTCCTCCTCCAGCTCGGCGGGCAAGGGGGCACCCTTGGTGGGGCCGGCCTCAGTGACGCCCACCTGCAGCCTCTCCATGTGCTGCATGTGCATATCCACAAGGAAGTCCAGTTTCTTCCCCATGTCGTTGACCTGGAAAATACAAGGAACCGGCAGTCATGACCTCCCCTGCGGGTGGGGTAGCTGTTAATGGTCAGGAGGGAACACTGTCGCACTTACTTTTCAGAAAGGAAAAGGGGTCTTGACAAGTCATAATATTAACAACAGCTAATAATTTTGTGCTTCTAAATTCTGAGCCCTGCACATGTTTTAATGCTCATCTAGGAACAACCTATACAAGGCTTTCCAGAAAGCAAAGGCTGGAAGCAGAGAAATGGTTTGAGGACCAGTTTCACCCGAGCAGGGGGTGGCCTTTCTGCTGCTGTCTGGATCAATGAGTGGGAGTTCTCGACTCGCAAACATTCCCTTGGATAGAAGCATGAGGATTGTTAGGGTTCGTTTCTCCTCCATGGCAATGTAAACCCGAAAGACACAAGGGCAGTGGTAAGCAAGAGCTGAGCTTGTCAGAACTGAAGACCTCACCTAGGGGCTTTGGAGGCCAGTGGAAGCGACACTGAGATAAGCTACATCTACTCTTACCTACAACACTTCGAACTTAATCTTTGTAAGTGTGTATACACAGGTATGGGTGTACGTGCGTGTGACGCTCTCTGACAGCTCATAGGTCGCCAGGCAACACTGTGGGCAGGTGTATCATGCCCCCTCACAGATGAGGAGACAAAGCATATACCAGGTAATGGCTGAGATGGTGTCCAAGCCTTAAAAGTTGCTAATACTTAGAGCAGTTCGTGAGTATCTGACTCTGTTTTATGAACTTTAAAGATAGCAACTCATTTCATTGTCACAACATCCCTGTGAGATGAATTACCGTTATTCTCTCTATGTTACAAGTGAGGCACAGAGAGATGAAGTAACTTGTCAAAGGTCACAGAGCTGGTAAATGGAAGAAGCTGAGATTATAAATTAAAATTTGAAAATGAAAAATGATACTCTCAATATACCAAGAAATAAGCATCATTCAAATTTGTCCTGTCTCTCCTTCACAGATCCAATTTTGGGTTATGAATAAAACAAAAGGATTGATAGGAATCCTAAAGGACACTGATGACACCATTTAATCTACTGTGAAGTCAGTTGAGCCTTGCGATCATATAAGCTGCTTTACTGTGGAAACTGGAGGTGAGCTGCCTGGGCTGTTGTGAGTGGGTGGGCTTCTCTTTCTGCCCTGAATGAGCCCACCCATGGCCAGCCCTCCTCCAGGCCTCTTCATATGGGTCACCCACAGCCCTGATCTTTGAGGGCAAGAGGACTAAAGATTCAGGAATGTAGGGAAGGGAACCAACATTTCTTAAGGAACACCATAATGTGCATAGGAATAATTTGCTGAATATTTACGGTGTGCCAGCTACTGTCTAGGTAGTCGACACATATCAACTCATTGAATTCTCACAGCAACCTTATAAGGTATTAAAATCCCCATTTTATAGATGAGGACACTAAGGCTCAGAAAAGTTGATTAGAATTGATGAGCTTGCATCAACCAACATGTGCTGTAACAGGGACTTCTATATCCTAGCCTTGAACGGTAGATACTCAAGTATGTTCTCTCCCTATGAAAAAATGGCATTTGAAGAAAAATGTTACACGCTTGCCTTTTGGTGAGGGAAAGGCAAGACCTACCTGCCTCTCGACTTTCACGAACTTCCCCATCATGCTTTGGTCTTCGATTTCTGATGTGGATGTTCTGGCTACGTATGGTTCATTCCTAGGAAAGAGCCAACAGTTCTCTAAGATCGTTCCATCTATTTCTGCTTTGCGAGGTTGCTTCAGCTAAGCGGCCTATGCTCCCTGGAGCCGTGGTTCCCAGGCTCATGCTCAGACAGCCTGGAAGAGGCCCCCTCAACTGGAGGCACGTGTGAGTCAGGAAAGACCAGCATTTTCCCCCCTTCCACACTGGCCTCTCATGTCTTTCTCCACTGCAGAAAAATTTGAATCCAAGTATTGAGCTGCTGTTATGACGTTTTGTGTCAAGGTTAACAAACCATCTAACTGTGTCTAGAGTGTTTACTTCTTTTAATTTATATTCCTTTGCTCTTCAGTGTCAGACTACTGGTTGAGAGTTTCTCCTGGGAGTGTGGGGTGGTGTAGGGGGTAGAGGGTGAGAAAGGGGTTGTCGAAATGCTGAAATTCTATGCAGTGGGTATAAAAATTTCTCTGTTCCATTTTAAGAGTGAAAAATAGATGCTGAATCTGAAAAATGATGCAAGAGATGATACTGCTGGTGATGGGTTGAGAGGTGGGTTGCCTTTGCTCTTTGACTATGCACAGTTGATGTCTGCCTAAATTCCAGTTAGTTTCAGTATTGTTATGCTCTATGCAGAAAAGAACCTTCAAGGAGCCCAGCTATTGCTCACAACTGTAAATATAAAGCACTCTCTAGGTAGCTGATTTTCTCTCTCATAGGCTACTAACTCCTGCTAAGTCCCTTCCGCTTAGCACTGGAGGCCCAGGTGCTAAATCCAGCTCACAATTGTCTTCCTTACCTTGAACAGGTTTTAAAACATTTAAGCCATCTCAGAAATGGGGAATCATAAAATCTGGATATGCACTTTTCTTGAAAAATTAGACTTTCTGAAAACAGGATCTTTACTCCTAAATTAGCAACAGCAGAACAGAGTAACAATTACCTCCTTGAGATGGACATGTGCTCTTTAGGTGCCCAAGGCCCACCACTCCCTGTCCTATCTCCAGGCCTGAGGCTGTAGAGTAGCTGCCTTGTGCCATCACACTCACATTCTTGCTTCTGTTATAATAAGGAGCTTTATTACTATAAGGTGCAGAAGGGTTCTTCAGCCTGGCTTCTTCCACTCATGTTACCTGCCTTGAGGGCATTTGGGGATAAAGATGTGTAAATGCAGGGCTGTGGACTTTTTCAAGGACTGTGCTTTTGTTCATCAGGACCTACACAAGGAGAACTTTCAAATAATTTTGGGGGGAGGGCAGAGCTGCTCCGCTCAGGGGCACAGCACTGCCTGTCACAGTGGTGTCGGGGGCCTGCCATCTGCTTCCTTCCCCAGCTCTGTCTTGGGAGGAGAATCAATGAACGCAGGGGTGACCATGCAGGAAAACCACCCAGGTGACCAAGGATGCCTCTGGCTCGGCTAACATGACGTGCCCTTTCTGTTCCGATTAACTCTGATTTTATAGTGAGGATATCATTATTTTTGTTCTCAATAACCATAAAAAGGAGACCCACATGGTCTGAGGCAACGGGAGGTAAGTCTTTCTACAGAAAGCTTTCAAATGGCCACAAACTGGAATAGGCTTCAAACTCTTTTCTTCATTTTATTTAGGGGTAGGGCTGTTTCACCCAGCCACAAGGGAACCAGGCTGAGATGTGGGGCAGGGGGTGCCCCCCAGGCTCTGGGGCCACGCAGCCAGCAGTCCATGTGCAACGCGCCCCACCTGGGAGATTGCTGGGAGGGGTAGGTGAATGCTGCCCCTTTCTGCGACTTCTTATGTTTCGGAGTAGATGGAGGTCCTGGGGTGAAAATCATATCTATTCTGAAAGAGACCACACAACGGGGATTCAGTTACAAAGAGTTTTACATATAAAGAGAGGAAAGCAATTCCTCTATTCATTTAGTCAGAAATAGGTTTGAAATACATGAGAGAAGGGAAAAAAGAGAAGGGAGAGGGAAATGGCGGGAAGAGAGAGGGAGAGAGAAAAGACAGACAGAATTTATAATCTCAATATATTATTGTGTTTTTTTTTTGATCCAGTAGTACCAAGAGCATCTCTGCAGCCCAGGGGAGAAGGAGGGAGGGAAGCAGACATTCCGCTGAGGCAGGGTGAGTGCCACATCTCATTATTTCTTGCAGGAAGTGTCATCTGTGCTGAGGGCCTGTTTGTTCCTCTCCAAAACATCTAGTAAGGGAGTTTTCCCTACTAAACCTAAGCTCTGTTTTTAGGATGCAGGCTTTTCTCGGTACAACTCTTTCTCTGCAGCTCTGCAGGCTTCTCCGGCCATTAGAGGGAAGGATATGACACCTGGCTTCCGTTTTTGGCATGAAGCACTAACCATGCAGCCGTACTGCTCCTGAGCATCACAGGAGACAAATGCCCTCATCACACTGCAGGGCCGGCACAGGGGCAGGACGTAAGGGCACCCCTGAAAGCCCATCACAGGCTCTGCACCACCAAGACCACGTACCCAGAAGTAGTCATGGATGGCTTTCTCTACAAACCCAGCTGCTCTTCCATTGACACCAGCATGTAAAAAATTGACCCTCTGTCCCTCTGGCCTATCCCAGCATAGCAATCAGTCATCCAGACAACCAATCTCCAGTCACAACTCACTGAAAAACAGACACCTAATACCAAAAATGAGGACTGTGTCAATATCTACACTATGTGCATTAAGATGGGCCGATATTTTTAGAGTCTGGTATGTCCTAGACATTCTCTCTCCATCCCTCAGATGGCCTTATCTGCATAAATACAGCATGTTGGGCTCAGAATTTGTTTGCACACCCATTTGTGGAGCAGGCATTGAGCACCAACTGTGTGCCTGGCACTATGCTAGGTAGTCACAGGTGACATTCCAGATATGGACAAAGTAAGGTCACAAATAAGCATTCCTCCAGCCCAACAGCATCATTAACTTCCAGCTATTCAACCTGGTGGTCCTGTTAACTCTGCAGGAGTAGGGAATAATGTAGGGAAACATTATTCAGATGAGAAAACCGAGGTCCTGAGAGGACTCAACTCAAGTCTGTTTGAAATCTCACGCAGGCCAGATAGTGAGGCTTTGGTTTCCTGAAGTCAGTTCCTATGTATTGATGTCATATTGTCCTTCAGTTTTTTTAAATGATTTTTCTTTTTAAAAGGATATTTGTACAGTTCATTAAAGATTTGGTAAATTTCAAATGTGAAAAAAAAATCACATATGGGCTCATCATCTCAGCCACTGAAATCCTTTGGGGGACACTCTACTCCTTTTCTCTAGGCCCCCTTTATGGGACAGCGTGTATGTGTGTATATTTCTCAGTAAACATATATGTGTACATTTTTGTAATCACACTGTACACGCTAATATCATAAGACCTAGGCAGAAAATATATATAAATATAACCATATACACCTATATGTAAATGTAGGTACATGTATAAGTATATATATATATGTCTGAATGTATTGTCAGTAACCCTATTATGCATATGTATATTCACAGACCACATAATTTGAACAATCTTATTATATGCATTTTTTAAATGTTGTTTGATGGCTGCATAACTTTTTAATGAGAGCAGGCACCATTTTTCCTTACTACTATTCAAATGATTAAGGAAGTGCTGTATGGTAGAATGGGAATTTTATAACCGGTTGGATCTGGTTTGCCTTCCAGCTCTGCCACCTACTGGCTGGGTAATTTTGGGTAAGTCCATGACCTTTAGAACTTCAGGTTTCTCCTTGGTAAATGGCACCCCCAGTGCAATACGTTATGGGGTTATAAGAGATGAGCCACATATATGTAGAACACCCAGGTGCTCAGCAAACATGGTGGCAATATTAGTTGGACATTAATGCTGTTTCTGTATTTTCACTACTATACTACTTGATGAACATTTTTTTTAATATGGTGAAAAATTTATATTTAGAATTGGACTGCTGGACTCAGTCTAGCTCATCACAATTTGGTGGCAACATCCAAAGCCTCCCAGCCAGGGGCCAGTCAGACATATACCTTCCTGCCCCGAGGCCTGACCAGGTGTGACCTTGGCCAAGCCAGTGTCACAGAGCTTCCTCACGGCCTGTTCAATGTTTGCCGACCTTGACACCCACAGTGCTTGATGAACATTTTTGATCTTAAAGTTTCTCCTCTGCATTTTGGATTATTTCTGAATGCATTTCACCCCAAGATATAGGGTTCATCTGGCTTTGGTTCCTTAGTGGTCAGGAGAGCAGAGTTCCTCTAGAAGCAGCTGTCTCACCTTGTCTGAAGGTACTTTATCCTGGAAAGCATGTCAAGGTGTCCTGCGGAATACTGCTCAATCACATCCTTCACATCATAAGGCCTCAAAGTCTCCTTGAATTTTTTTTTATAGAGACGGAATTGTAGAATCCTACGAGGCAAAGCAGAGACTTCTGTGCATCACGAGTAGGAGAGCAGGAAACCACTTCAGAACTCAACAAACTCAGGGGCAGGGAGAGAAAAGAACCAAAGAGAAAATGACCTGATGGCGAGAACTTCCAACTCCTGGTCCTGGGCCTACCCTTTGAATCACAGAATTAGGCTGGCGAATGCCTCTCCTTCATGACTGCCTCCCTTCAATCATTTGAATGATAAGAAAATCCTAGTGACAATCCCAGACAACCTTTATGGAACATTCACTACAGGCCAGACACTGAGCTATGTGTTTTATGAACAGTCTGCTAATAGATCAACTCAAAGATGATGAGACCATGGTTCAGAGAGTTCAGCATCTCCCCAGGGCCATCTGGCTAGTATTGTCAGAGCTGTCCTCAAACCCACGTTTGTTTGCTGACAAGGCCCACGCTCTGAATCACTGTGTCACACTGCTTCTGTCTGAGAACAGCTGACATATCTCTTCAATAGTCTCTTTAATTATTTGGCTTGTCAGCACTTGTCAACAGAAACTAGCTTCTGTTCCCTAAGTTTTCTCATAGTCTCAGTGAAATGGGGCACCCAGAGCCCATAGATACCACATCCTCACCCCCATCTTCCTGGGAACCAATAAAGTCACCCCAGATAGCAAAACCCCCTTGAAAGGCCCATCATAAGGCCCACTTCCACTGAGCAGAGTCAATTAAAATCCCTAATAATAGGCCAGCGACAGAAAACCCCGCCTGCCCCAGGCCCTCCCTGCTGATGCTTGCACAGGTCTTTTCTTTTGTAATGCAAAGTTCATTTCGTTCATACTAGCCCACGTCTCCAGCTCTGAACACTGTTTTGGCATGTTGATGATACCACCCATTTTGCTTGTGACTCTTCCCACCTCTGTCATATCATAAGCTGGCCAACTGCCTGCTTTTGAAAGTAAAGTTACGCTGCAGCACAGCACACCCCTTCCTTTATGCACTGTCTCCGGCTGCTTTTGCGCTACAAACTCAGAGTTGAATACGTGCAATAGAGATCAACGGACCATAAAGCCTAAACTATTTACTCTCAGGCTCCTTACCGAAGAGCTTGGCCCACCCTTGAACTAACCCATCAGTAAAAATTCCAGAAGGACAGAGAGGAAAGCCAGAGCCTGGGGCATTCCGGCAGACACCTCCCTCCAGGATGACGCAGGTTCTTTCACTGGTTTTCTTTGAATAAGATCATTCGATGCCTGTTAGGAATTCAGGCAGCTGTGTCTTCATCCAGCCATATTGCTGTCACATTGTACATGCAGTGTCATGAGAAACCGGGTCAATGGCTTTGGGAGGCCACATATTATCACACTAATGTGCTTCCCTGATCTACTGGATTAGGAATCTTGCTGAAAATATCACCACCAGTTCTTGGAGAATCTGCCTTGGTCTCTAGAACTCACAGCCACCACTGTGAAGTGCTTATAAGCCCCTCTCCTGATCTAAGATTTTACTTAGTGGCATATATTTCTTTTCTTGTGGAATTCTAAAGCAAAAGAGAACTAGGATAGATGGAATGTAGTCTCATCTGATACAGACCAAAAAATCCTATAGCTGCTTGTCTTGTTTAGATTTCTAATTAAAGAGAATTAGATGGATGAAGACACAGAAGCAAAGCTAGTTTGAGTAGGAAGCCTGTAAAGGAAGAAAAGTCCATGTCCGTATTCCCAGCAACCTTTAAAGTAAAGGGGGGCCAAAATGAGACAAGAGCATGGCAGTTGGGCATACTATCAGGAGCTGTGGGGGCATTTTTATAAAATGGCAGCAAGACTCAACCACCGTGACTCACTAATGCAGAAATTGTTTTGGGGCAGCATCCCCCGTGGAGTACTGACATACTCCTGGACGTGACTTGGGGTTACTTGAGGGGCTGCCTGTCTACCTTTCCAAAGCCCAGGATACTCCCCATGGCTGTGTTCTGTGGGGGCTGGGCTGGGGCCAGGGCAGGCCCCCAGGAGGGGAGGGGGACGTTACCTGACGGCTCGGATGGCAGCCTTCAGGGTGGGGATCATGTCTTCGATGAGGAAGTCATTCCCGTAGCCCCTGTCTTCTGCCATGGGGTCACCAGTCCCGGCATCTGGGAGGGAGACACATAGTCAACGGCAGGACACAGCCTGGGGAGGCTCGGGGACCCTGCTCAGTCAGGGCCTTCCTAGCTCAGCCGCCAGAGTTCCTGGTGCCGCTTCGTGAACGCGCGCGTGTGCTGCAGCTGGGACGTCCTGCAGGCTCTCCTAACTTCCCCTGCTATTATCCAGGTGTCTGAGTCAGAGGTGCCCGCGGTTCAGGACTGGTGGTTGGGAGAAGAGGCTAGGAGGGGTGCCTGAAGGGGCCCCTGGGGGCAGCAAAGAGCCCACATGTGGGTGTTGAGACAGACAGACCTGAGTTCAGATTCTTGCTCTGTGGGTCACTATCCTTGTGACCTTGGGGGAGTCACCTTCAAAGCCCTGCTTGTCCTCTGCTTCTGTAAGTGATAGGGGCTCACAGAGGTATTGCTCCCACAGCCTCTGCCGGGCACTTTTCCAAACCTCCTTCCACTCCGTGGAGGTGCTGGGCCCCTAGGTGTCCAAGTCATTCTGCGCTCAGCCCCTCACCATCCCTCAGGCTGACCCGTGACAGTGCACTGATCCTGGCCATGCTTAGGAACCATGGGAATATGTCTTGAAGCTCCCTGGAGGGTCCTCACAGACCAATGCAGTGATCCTGGCCCAGGAAAACAGCTAACTTGCTGTACGAGTTGTGGGGACATAACACAGCCGCCTCCAACCCAGGGATGGGAATAGGGTAAAGCCAGAGGTTGGTTCAGGAAGGGTGGGGGACAGGCTACTTTGCACACTGGTGAGGCCTTCACCAGGGAGAGAAGTGAGGAAGGAAGAGGGCTTGGGAAGGGGCAAGTGGAGAAGACAAGGGAGGGAGAAGAGAGGCATTACCTTCAGAACTCTGCCAGAAAGCGTAGGCTTTCATGCGGAAGGCGGTGCGGAAGCGTTCTTTACTGTTTAAGCCAACAGGCTTTGGTTCTTTAGAAGGGCTTTCTTCTATGGCATCTACATTCAGAGGGGTAAATAGCTTTCCTTTAGTATTGCTACCACGAGGATTAGAAAGGCGAACCCGATCCAAGAGACCCAGCTTTTGGCTACAAAATAAGCAAAAGTGAAGAATTTTCCTCCTTGAGTGCAGGCTTTCGTAATTGCTCGTCCCTCTCCATCAAGACTCACCCATTCTCTTCCACATGGACGGGGAAGGTGGGCCCTCAATGCTACATCTGACTTGGCGGCTCGGAATGGGCAGGGCTTGGCCCAGACCCTAGCTGGGCAGTTTACTCATCTTGTGCATGTCTCCTGACTTCTCTGAATTTCAGTTTTTTGTGTAAGTGGCGCTTAGATGAGATACAGGTTATAAACTGCCTGGCCAGTAGTAGGATGCAGCAAAGCTTCATGCCTTCTCCATTCCCTTCTCCTCACCATCCACAGCTTCCTTTGTGACACCCCATGGAGCCCAGTTAGCGCCTTGCACAGAAGAAGCCTTACCAAATGTTCCTTAACAGAACTGGATGACATAAATTTCACAAAGCAGGAAACCTAACCTACATCCACAGACATTCCCATGGATGGAATTTTGGGGGGTGGGTTCCATGAGCTCAAGAGGGAAAAACTACATCTTTAACTTATCTTTCACTGAGATTTAGCATGTTTTTCAATTCTGAATGTAGGTAATAAACCCCAGTAATATCCTCAATGCCCTGGTCACATCCTGTGACTTTCCACAACAGAAAGCCCAAGTCATTTCATTTCCTGCTACCTCCCTGGATTGCTATGCTGTCATTACTTCAAAATTATGATAGTATTCAACTTGCTACTAGGTCTTGTCATAAGAGTCATCACAGAAAAGCACATATATGAGTGCAGCTCAAATGTTTAAATAGTTCAATAATTATGTTTCAGTATAATCAGCTTCTTCTGTAGCAGTAGGCATTTTATTTATGAATTAAAAATTATTATTCTGAGAAAGGGTCCCTGGACTTCATCATACTGCCAGAAGTGTCCTTGGCACAGAAAAACAGTAAGTCCACTGTAAGGTTGCCCTGGTGCAAAAACCAGCTGCACTTCGACTTGCAGTCCAGCCAGGTGACCTTGGACAAATCCATGACCTTTCTGAGCCCCAGTTACTTAATCTGTAAAATAGGAATGAGCACTCCTCGCTTCACCAGGTTACTGAGAGATGATGTTTGTCGAGGATTTGGCATAGAGCCTGGCACATGGGAAGTGCTCTACATAGATTCATTTCTTCCCTCTATTTCTCCACCTCCTAGTGGGCACAGGGAATGAAGTCCTTTCAGTGTGGCACATACCAGAGAGAAGCCACACTGCATGTTTGCACACATCAGTATACTCAACTCGGCTGCTCCCTCCCCCTCACCCCACACGGGGTCTGTGCACCTGTACTTGTGGAATAAATGAGCAAATAAATGAATAAGGGTTATCAAATCAGCTTTGTATCGCCTGAGACAGTCCAGTATTTCTAAAGACTGTGTCTGCTTATGACAGCCACGTGCATCTCATCAAAAGCTGCTGCCATCTTTGTGACTTGGTGGCAGTGAGGAGGTCACAGATGTTGGAGCCCCAGAGAGGCTGGAACACACCTCCTGTTGAGCAGGTGCCACACATTCTCTGAACACTAGGTCCTCATTGGTCAAATGGGCCTAATAACACCTGCTTTGTAAGGGTTTGGCCTGCCTCACACACGATAATATCTTTTTTAGCCCGGCATAGAGAAGGTGCTAAGGCACATTTAGTTAACACATAAATGAATGAACATATGGATGAGCAGTCATTATTTCTGACTCCCTCTGGACTGTTCTATCTCACCCAGCACATTGACATTAATAACCTGACCTGGGTAAATTCAGAGAAACTCTAGTACCCAGAGGGTTCATCTTCCCTGAGCCAAAGTCAAAATTTTTGGAGAGGTTTTCCTGATGAGTACTATGTGAATGATCAGTAGGACGGAGAATGTGTCAGGGTCTGTGGGCTACAAATACTGAACAAGGTGGGAAGTCAACACACACAGAAGGCCTTTCCACCCAGGAGCTAAGGAAAGGGGACTTTAGGACAGTCACTTCTAGGACCCTCTTCCTCTTGGCCCTTGCCTATGTCTTACGACACCTATACAGCCAAGCAGACCCATCATTCCACCTGCACCAGGCCCCTTGCCTGGCATCCCCAAGTCCACTCCTGCATGCCACAGTACCCACGGGTCCTCCAGCTTGCAATGACCTTTCTTGCCTGCTGGGCCAACTTCATTTCCATCTGCCCCTTAAAACGGCCTGAGCATCCCTCTTGGAAATTAGCCTTCCCTCTGTCTGCTCTCCAAAGATATACTGTGTTTGTCTCTGCCGCCACATTTAACACACTGTGTGGAGACCATATGTTTCCATGCCTGCCTGCCCCACTGCTTTGTACAGTCTTAGCAAAGACTCTGCCAAGTTACTTCTAAACCCATCATAGCCCCTGCCCAGTACATCCTGGTGTTCAGGGTAGCAGAGAAAATCATGGGCTTTGGGGCAGACCAGCCTGAGAAACTGTGACCTAGGACACATAACTCAATCCCCACATGCACAATGCTGACAAGCAGGCCTTGCTGTGCATGGTTGCTCAAAGGTACTGAGCCTTGTAAAGTACTGAGCCAACCATCTGGGATGCGGGGTGTGAGGAGCCTTCAATAAATGCTGGCCGCCGTCATTATCTCAGTAAATAATCTTCTGCCCACAGAAACGGTAGAAGGCTAATGACATGTGTGAAAAGGAAGGATAAAATTTCCTGAGCCACAAACACGTTGTTTTTTCTTTTAATGAACTGAGCTGAGATCTTGGGACTTACTGATTATTTTACAGTACTTTTAATGCTAGCCTCAAATACTCACCATTGTCATTGAACTTGACCTCAGCAGGAGATGAGTGCATGAGGAGCTTAACTCCAGATAAAGGAAACAAGACAAAAGCAGTGGCAGCTGCTTTGTCCTGACTTGAAATCTGGGCATAACTGCTGATGACTGGAGAGAGAATGAGCAGCCTCTGGGTTCTATCTGTGCTGGGATTTAGCATTCGCTTATTTGGCATTTAAATGCTTCATTGCAACCTCTAACAGTCGGAATGGCTTTAGTTATGCTCACTTAATATCCCATTGGTCACAGAGCATGGTTTCTGAGAGATGGATTCCGACAGTGTTTAGGAATCCAGATGCGTTGGGCTCAAGTCAGAAACCTTAGCTCTGAATTACTCACAGCCGTTGCACCTTAAGAGGCTTATGGCACTCTTCCTCCAGCAAAGTGGGTGATCAGCTTACATCTTAATTTTGTTGCCTGAAATCCAAGACCCTAAAGGATAATCAAATGCAAGGCAAAGTCCAATCCTGAAACTCAAAACCCATCTCTACCTTCTCTGTAAGGATTTCTGATGTGTAATTCAGGCCTGTGCTTCGAGGGCACTACAGCAGGTTTTGCAAGGAAAGCTTCCCTTGGAGCTGACATCAGATTTCCTCGGAAAGCCAGGGTCCCTGATTTGTTAAGTGTAGACAAGAACTTTCAGAACATGAATTAGGAAAACTGGAAATAGATGGACTGAGGATGGAAAAGTACAATCACGGTTGTTCTGTCCTGGCAGATACAGCCTCTGCGCTGGGCTCCTGCCTCACGTCCCAGCGCAAGGAACTCCAGCCCATGTTAAACCCCATGCAGGTTCCTGGCTTTCACACATCCCAGCCTTTGCACATGCTGACCTGTGCCTGGGAAAACCTTCATTCCTTCTTTTATCTAAATGATCCTGACTTTTGTCTGAAACTTGGTTTAAGCATTAGCCCCAAGGCTCACTTCCACGCTTGGTCCAATTAGATATCCATTCACCATGCCCCTTGATCACCTTAGGATTTTCTCAGCCACGGCACCTGGCCACTGTAACGAAATCTTACACTCAGCAGGAGCTCTCTCACTACAGCAGTGGTTCTCAACCAGGGCCAACTGTGCCCCCAGTGGACATCCGGCAATATCTGGAGTCATGCTTGACATAACTTGGGGTGTGCTACCGGCCTCCAGGGGGTGGAGGCCAGGGATGCTGCTAAATACCTCACGATGCACAGGCAGCCCCCCACAACGAGGAGTGACCCCACCCATATCAACAGAGCTAAGACTGAGAAACTGAAAGGAAAGCTATTGGTCTGGAAACTACTCTGTTCAGTTTTGCGTACTTAACAGTGCCTGGTGCACAGTAAGCATTATTATGATACTGAAGGAAGGGAGGAAGGAATACGGTATTTGATCTTCTGATTAATAAAATGTACCCCAACAGCTGAGAGAGGGAGTGCTGTGTAGTGTAAAGAGTGTGGGCTTTGTGAGTTCAAGAACTGGGTTCAAATCTCTGCTCTGGAGTTAGTATTTCCACTTGGGTAAGTCATTAACTCTGATTCATTTTTTCACTTGTACACTCGAGCTGGTATTATTTATTTGTTCAACAAAAATGGTTCTGTACCCCATAAATGCTAGGCTCTTGTTAACTTGTTGAATATACACTGGTGACTAAGACAGACATGGTTTTCAGGCTCCAGTGAGCTTATGATAAGGCCAGGAAGACACACAATAAGCAACAGATACATATATTGTTACAAATTTGACCAGGAAACAAAGAATGTGCAGTAATGGAAAAGAGTAGGAGGTCAGCATAGCTAGGGTGCTCAGGGAAGGCCCTTTGGGTGGATGAGACCAGTTAGGAGGCCAATTTCAGTGGTTCAGGATCAAAATGATGGTGGTCCAGACTTTGAAGGTGAGACCCGAGGGTGAGAAGAAGCCAGACTTCAAAGGAAGAGCATGAGAGCTGCCCGGGCAGAAGAATCACACATGGGTGCAAGGATGTGAGCTCTGGGTTTGTGCAACTAACCGAACCACTGTGAATGATGGCAAACTGGCACACGAAGAGATCAGAGGCCATCTCACTCAGGGATCTCAGAGATAGGGTTCGAATTAGAAACAGGAAATATAATTTCTATTTTATTCTAAGTGTACCTAGATGTCACTAAGAGTTTTAAGAAAGGGAAAGTATGCCAACTTTGCATTTAAAAAAGGACACACATGTTAATAGCAGCTTTA